TCCTAAGAGAGCACAGTCTTCTTTGTCTCTGGAGGAATTGCCATTACTTTCTCCTTCTCCCTTTTGTCCTTTGACCAACCGGAGCACCATGATTTTCTAGCACGCTGATAAGAAACTTTATCTGCAAGCATGTCAACTATTTTCTACTTCATTTTCTTTGCAACATGAAGCTTTACCTGTGTATGAATATGCACATGATTTTGTAAGTAAATTTATCTTTTTATATTACTCTAAGAACTTTGTCTTAGTTCTTTATTGGAAGACACATGGGGGCTGGAGATTAAAAGTGGACTACTTTATTTTCCTGCTCATGCATTTTTCTGCTGTCTTCACTTTGCTGGTGAGATTAAATCAACCTCTCCTATTTTCCTGAGCTTTCTAATGAATCTCAATAAAAATTCTATCATTCTGCCATGCAGGAAGACACCAAATCACCCCAATGTTGCAGATGGCCATCCACTTTATGCTTAAAAACCTCCAAAGAAGGAAATTCCTCCACTCTCTGAGGCAGCATATTCCAGGGTTCTTGGTGCAAATGATTTTCAATATCTCACTTTCTGCAATGCTAGAAAGTTGGGAAATCCTAGAATCCTAGACTTGGAAGAGACTCCAACTCCATTCTGCCATTCAGGAAGAAATAATCAAAGCCTTCTCTATGACAGATGGCCATTTAAAAACAGCCTCCAAAGAAGGAGACTCCTTGAACTTCCACTGTTCTTCAAACAGGTCTTACTGCCAGGATGTTGTTGAGGTGGAATCTCTTTTCCTGTAGTTTGCACCCATTGTTCCAGGTCCTATTCCCTGGAGCAGCAGAAAACAAGCTTGCTCCATCCTCAACATGACATCCCTTCAAATATTTAAACAAGGCTATCATGTCCCCTTTTAATCTTCTTTTCATCAGGCTAAAACATTCCCAGTTCCTCAGCTTCTCCTCCCAGGGCCTGGTAGTTTCCAGACCCTTCACTATTTAGGTCGCTCTTCTTTGGACATGCTCCAGATTTTCAACATCCCTCTTGAATTATGGTGCCCAGAACTGGACACAGGGTTATTTATTCCAGGTGAGGCTTGACCAAAGCAGAACAGATTGGTACTATTACTTCCCTTGATCTAGATACTATACTTCTATTGATGCAGCCTAGAATCACAGTTTGCATCCACTCATCTATGTCCCAGTCTCTGGAGCAGCAGAAATCAAGATTGCTCCATCCTCAACATGACATCCCTTCAAATATTTAAGCATAGCTATCATGTCACCTCTTCTTTACTAGAAAACCCACTGGGCAACCTTGGGTAAGTCATACTCTTTCAGTCTCAGGGGAAAGCAATGGAAATCCTCCTCTGAAGAGACCTTACCAAGGAACCATATGATGGGTTTGCCCTAGGGTCACCATAACTCATAAATGGCTTGAAGACATACAACAATAACATCAGCTACAACAACCAGTTTAAAAACATACAAAAACATCAGTGTGCATATGTGTTTCTAGATAAAACCAAGCATCCTATAGCAGTGATGGTGAATCTTTTAGAGACCGAGTGCCCAAAGTGCAGCCCAAAACCCACTTATTTATCGCAAAGTGCCGCATCCCTATAGCTTTATAGTAACAAACTCTGGCCAACTCTGTGCTGGGGCATCGGCATGCGTGCCCACAGAGACGGCTCTGAGTGCCCCCTTTGGCACACATGCCATAGGTTCACCACCACTGACCTATAGAGTTAAAATTGTTCATGATCCTCTAGAACAGTGGTCCCCAACCCCCGGTCCGCAGAACAAATGGTATCGGGCTGCCCTGCTACTGCATCTTCTGTGCAGCGGTGGCGGCGGGTCCTGCGACTTTTGCGAGTCCTGCGAGTCCCGATAATAAGCGCAGGGACGGGACTCCTGCGTCTGCTGTATTTTATTTTGATGCCATGTTTAAATACAATTAAATTAAAATTGTTTATATTTGAGATTGTTTTGATTTAATAATCAATGCAACGCTGCAAACCCCCCTCAGTGGGCTGCGGAAAAATTATCAAACGTTGACCGGTCCACGGCAATAAAAAGGTTGGGGACCACTGCTCTAGAAGACAGAATATATATATTTTAAAAAACGAATCATACATCATAGAAGTAATAGTGCCACTCTATTCTGCTTTGGTCAGGCCTCACCTG